TGTCTTTCCTTTATTTCCCTGCCATCTCCGTCATCTAACCTAAATTTCACACGCAAGTGATGCTCACAGCTTGGCAAGCGTATATCAAATCCGGTTACTATTTACTAAAAGGTTAGCCGTAGGTTTTTCTAATAATGCTCATTACACAATAACAAATTCAACGGAAGTCATTACAAGAATAGAAATCTATAATTAATTAAAACTGCCATTAAAACTGATTAAATATAGACTATTGCAACAAAAGCTCAAATACACCCGCCTGGGACCTTGTAAGAGTCCCTGCAATAAACCCTGAGAGCACACGATAATATTTAAACTTGATGAGATAAACTTGTACAAAGTTAGACCCAACTGTTCTACGTCACGTTGTTTCGTTGTCAAGCTGGTTAGAACTTTTGAGAAGTTTTGATGAATCAATTTTAGCAAATTGCGGATGGAGGTTAAGTTTTTTATGTAAATAGTTTGTGAAGTGCTGTATACAATGCTCCCGAGACAAAAGAACTTTTGTAGTCGGTCGCAGTTTTTAAACTATTCATTTTTGTATTACGAAATAATTTTAAACTGTATTAAACACTTTTTCTTTTACCGTTTAGTTCCTTAGTTGTTAATCATCATGAACTTATATTTAAATTTGATTGATTAACTTATATTTGACGACGCGTTTGGCTCAGTTTGCGAGTTCCTACTTGCTGTGCCAGCGGTCGCGGGTTCGAGTCCCGCTGGGCATTCATTTGTGCGATGAACACGAATGTCTGTACTCCAGTCGTGGGTGTTTATATTTATAATATGTATGTATTTAAAGCTATATTTGTGTAGTGTATCAACGGTCCGGTATCCATAACACAAGCCTCGTAGCTTATCATGGAACTAGATGGCACTGTGTGCTAATGTCACAACATATTTATTTATTTATATTACAATAGGTAAGCAAATGTTCATTTCGAACATATCCATCAAACTGATCCGATCATTATATTTTTTAATGCTATAGTAATCTTGTTGTTGCTTGGTCTCTGGCTATTTTTAATATAAAAAAATCTAGATAGTTCAACACATACTAGCAAAACAACAAAACAGGAGTTCTAAAAACCAGCGACAATACATCAAAAGCGGTGCAGAGATAGCAATGTTCCGGCGCTTGAGCTGCCAACTTCCACTTTTACTATCGGGAACATTATGTTACTAACGTCATTACTTCAGTTTTATAAAGCTTTCTAAAGGATTTTACTTTTATATGATGGAATTTTAATAGTGTGTAAAATGAATATTATATTATACCCATAGTACCTATACTATTTTAGGGTTCTGAATAAAAAATTATAGTTTTAACCAACTTACTAAGCGTAGGTATGCTATTGGTCCTTTAATTTGCTGTATCTTTTGAACTGGAGTAGATAGCTGATTGGAACTTATTTAGAAAATATATGTTATTACGGTGAATTTCTTAGAAAAAGCCAAGATTAAAACATAAAAACGAAAAGGTTCAATCCGTACAAGACATATGTTTAATACGGTATTTTGCTAATATCTGGAGAATATTGGATTTTGCTATAAAGAAGTTAGTAAGTTGTAAAAAAAATAATGAAAAGAACATTAATAAAAAAATAACAAATAAAAATATAACATTCGTCTACACAGCAGTGTACCAACACAAAAATGGTTACTAAGTAAATACTAGTGATTTCCGTATTACTATATCTTTGAAAATTATCTATACATATTATAAAATTGTAACTAAGCCGAATCTGTACATGTAATATTTTTTGGAAAATCTTATTGAGATAAACATTATTATCGATACAGAGGCCGAATCTATAGTTTTAAAATTTTTCTGTCTGTTATCGCATAACAGAAAACCACTGGCGGGATTTTGAGGTATGGTGTGTACCGCGGGAAAATATCTCATTTCTGAGAAAAAAACACAAAAATTACAATGTAAGAGTGTACTAGCCGTCATACCTACGTTACCTACCTACTAATATATAAAACCTAAGAATTTGGGTTTTTGGTCGTCTAAGCCCGCGGCGTAACCTATATATTATTATGAAGTATTAGCTATATTATTATCAAGTTTAATCAAAATTCGTTCAGTAGTTTTTGCGTGAAAAAGTAACAAACATCTATCCATCCTCACAAAGTTCCGCGCTTATAATATTCAAGTGAATTTTCTTGTTTGGCTTCAAAGTATGCCAGTTTAGCACAAATTACTTCACCAATGTCAATGATGGAGATTGGTCTGTAGTTTATAATATTAATAGGATTTGTTTCACATAACCTATCCGTATTTTATGTTTTCATCTCCATTTTCTCATTTATCATTTAATTGAGGATTCTAGTAATAATATCTTCATATTACTCGTTCTCAACTATTTCAAGTATTTTTCTATCACAACAGCTTCGTCAAGTTGGCGTATATTATATGGCATAGCGCCAGCTATGTGCATCGATCGCCTTCCCAGTACGGTACAACTTTCATCGGCATACGTATGAAATTTAGTATGAAAAATAAATTTGGTATATTTTCATATTGGTTTTGTTTATTTAAAGTCTACACTTTGTTCTTTTTTAATTTAGATTATTTTGTCTACAAAATACAGACGATTAAAAATATGCGGTTATAATATTAATTTTAGCATGCTTGTGGCTAAAAAGTGAAGCATATGTAAATCTCATCTCATTATTACATCAATTGCAGTAATTTATTGTAGTTAATATAATTCCAAGCTGTATTTGGACGACCTTCTATATAATTTACGCTTTGTTTTTGCCATATACTTGTGGCCTACCCTAGCGTCGCTCTGGTGGTAGCAAAAAGGAGGATGTTCTCATTTCGTCGGAATCTAGTTTTTTATGTATGTTCACCGATTACTCGAAGACGCCTGAACCGATTTGGATTTTTTTTTGTTTCAAAGGGTAATACTTTTCAGGTGGTCTCATATACATTTTATCGAAATCGGTTGAGCAGTTTTTTATAAAATTAACAATTAAAATATTTTTTAAATAAATTGTTTAATCGTGTATGTTATTAAAAAAACTTTCTTCTTACAAATTACCTGCTTATTACGTCTACACTAAACTTCGACCAACGTACTATTGTTGATCGAAGACACTAAAAATAGAAAAATAAAAAGTTTGTAAAAAAAATAAAAACCGACTTCCAGGCACTAAAATGTTAAAAATAACTAAACGGGGGTTTTCATTTAGAATATATACCTAATCAGATCAGATATTGTATTCAGCATTAAATTATAACAATTTTTTTCTGAACGTCATGAATCTACTACCAGTTCGAGATATTTTCGAAGTCGGTGCCAGCCGACAATATCTTAAGATATGAATATTTAATAGGTAAATATGTATTTTACGTATCGAAATACATATATTAGATTTGCTTTGCATCGGCTGGTATCGACTATGTAAAAACATTTGTTAATCCCTCCACGACCGCGGATACGCCGGCGTTACAGTTAACAATAGATTTCTTAAAAATTTAATCAATTTCTTAGAAATTTACCTGGAGGTGTTAATATTTTACCAATAGTGGTCACTAACACTTAGTTACAGTCTAGCGCTCTTAATAGAAACGTGTTGAGAATCCGTAAGTACAATACGTAAAAAATAATTCGAAACCTTACCAATTTTTATCAAATTTTTTAAATCGTGTTGCTACATTCGACTTTATTATATAATGTAATTGTTTCTTTTGTATTTATTGTTATTTATTGACTAAAAATTGATTTTTGCTTATACAAATTGCATGAACATTTGTTGTGGATGTTGGTCTAAAATATTTTATTATATATAGAAAATTGGTTAATATTTTATGAGAAAAGACAATCGTAGTAATTTATTAGGTCGTTCAAAACTTGATACAGTGAATGAAGTCGCGGCATAAAGTATAATTATTTAATAATATACGATCCTTTCAATTTATTCTAATAAGAAAAATACTCTTGCGGGAGGCTACTTTACACGAATATTATAAAAACAAGTGAATGCGTTTATTTCTTCAATTAAGTAAATAAAAGCTATTTTTATATATTTGTTTTTATATACAAGTTATAAGAGAAAAGCTTAGCCAAAAAAACTGCAGTGAAGCTGCTTCTCATCATTTATATATAAAGAAAGGTTTAGTAAACTTCATGTTGACGTATCTTGGAACAAGTAAGAGTTGTGTTTAACTACTAGTTAAATACCAGCTTTTAATTTAGAATTTACTTGAATTTTAACGGATATTGCCCTAACTGATACTGCCTTCATATGTCTTAGATTTAATAAGAAATTAATGTTATTTCTACAAATCCCTAACTTAGTTATCTATGGGTTTGTTACAGTCTTTATATTCTACATTTGAAATCTAATTTTTATAGTGTCTTAATACGTATCTAACCGTGGAAACCTAAACGTCACAATCATTCTAATTTTGTAAGTCAATTTAAGGGAAGTTAAAATACTAAATCGTATACTATAGGCAGTAATGTTTGAATAAATCTTACTAATACTATAAATGTGAAAGTTTAGATGTATGGATGGGTGTTTGTTACCGTACAGTACGTAGGTTACTTTTTATTCCGGAAAAAGGTACGGTTCCCGTGGGATAGATTTGTTTTTGGTTTTTTTAGAGGCGACCTCAAGCGAAGCGAGGGTGAGCCGCTAGTTGTCTATTTGATGATTTATGCAGAATTTAGGGACATTGAAGAAAATTATAATAACAAGACAATTTTCGACGCTCTTTATCTTAAAATCCTTTTTATGAGACGACCGTTTGGCACTTTACCATTATTTTTGATTTTCTTCATTACATGCATATTCTAAATTTTTTATTTGTTACCAGAGAGATATTTTACGTCTTCACTCGCATAAGACAGGCGAAGGCTTAGTTATACTTAATATTTTCAGCAAAACACGCTATTTCGAAAACTTTTCATATCTCAAAACATGGACAGACAAATGTTAGTCTGTCAGTTTAGCCTACTTTAAAGTACGAATGTTTAACTTACATAAAACTTCCAGATTGAGTAGATCTTCTAAAGTGTATGCAGGGAACCACGGATTTGAGACGCGGCATACTAGTTGTCGTCCCTTGTCTTCTCTCCTCACTCGCCAGGTTAGAATACTTCTAGTTACTTCACCATCTACTTCCACCTATTATATGGAAAAAGTTGCATTATATTTAACAAATTAATTCGCACATATAAATAAATATGTTGGGACATTAACACACAACACCATCTAGTTCCACGGTAAGCTACGAGGTTTGAGTTATGAATACCAGATAGTTGATACACTACACATATTAACTTTAAATACATATAAATCTAAGCACCTATGATTGGAGTACAAACATTTGTGCTTATCACACAAATGAGTGCCCCCAGCGGGACTCGAACCCGCGACCGCTAGCACAACAAATAGGTTCACTACAAGCCTAACCAAAGATGTATCATCCTTGCACATACTATTACACTTAGAATCTAACGTAATATTTTGTGATAAGAAATATCCAGACCTCTTATGAAATTCTATAAGCATCAATTGCGATAGACCAAGAGCTTAGAAGTGTAATCAACAACTCTTCATTCTGCCATTTAAACAGCTGTTTTCGTCATTATAATTATTAATTATACCTATTACTTATTCTCTACCTGCGGTTTTAAAACATTCTCAGTTTTTAATGTTTAGTATTTGTTCATCTAAACTATTTTATAGTATTAAAGGGCAAAAACATAATATTTATTATAAAAAAATTACCTATTAGGTGTAGTCCAGTCTAAGTAATTTATGTGTATAATAACAAATGACGTATAATACTAACGACTCACCCTCGCTCGGGTATACTCGGGTTCATTCCTAGATACGTTTTAAGGGTTAGGTAGATTTCTCAGAGAAATATCTCAATATTTTCCCACAGTAAAAAGTATCCTAAATCAAAATCTGTCTAGTGGTTTTCTCGTAATGCGTTCCTAGACAGTCAGACAGACAGACAATAATTGTAAAAACTATAGATTTTCCAAAAAATATTTAATGTATAGATTCAACTTAAAATTTTATTGTATGTAGGTATAGATTATAATAAGATATTTTAATATGAGAGTATTTTGTTTGATAATAAAATCTAAGATAATTCTTGCTCCCATTGAGCAGTCAGGCATAATTAATTGATATGAAACAAATTTTTGCCATGAGACTGCCTTCAAACTATGGGCGTAATCTGACAGAGGACATTACAGCTTTGGAAGAAACAGACACAATTCCTTCTTATTTATTATCTTCTATACATATAATAAAATTCTAACCGAGTCGAATCTGTACATTAAATATTTTTTGGAAAATCTTATTGAAATAGTCATTATTATCGATAGAGAAGCCGAATATATAGTTTTTAGATTTTTTTTCTATCCGTCTCTCTATCTGGGAATGCATCACGCGAAAACCACTGGACAGATTTTTATGAAATTGAGTATGATGATAGCTGGTTATCCGGGTCGTCATTTAAGATGCTTTTTACCGCGGGAAAATAACTCATCCCTGAGAAATCTATACTAACCGTAAAAACGTTCCTAGGGACGAACCCGAGCGGAGAGAGGGCAAATTGCTAGTTTTATATATTATTTGTGAAAAAGAGATAGATACTCAATAATTTTGTAATTAGAAATTATTGAAATATACATGTTAAAAGAGCAACATATAAGTACCTGTGTCAAAGACGAATCAATACGCTGTGAATTAATGAACCAATCTATATTGGGTGCAGGTTTCGATCCTCGTGTTGTACATACAAAAGGTCTTTCGTTGCCAGCTCGCGTAGGACCTCCACCAGATACTCTTATGAATTGTGGTTTTACTGCAAAAATGAAGAATTACAAAATCTGTGCTAATATAATAAATGTGAAAATAATTGTCTGTTACTTTTTCACGCTTAAATCGCTGAACAGATTTTGATAAAATTTTGCAAGGACATAGATTGGACTGGGATTGGTATATTGTCTACCCTTAAACCCCACCCGGCTAATAAGCGAGCGAAGCCGCTGTCAAAAACTAGTTAATTAATGTCACAACTTAGCAAAATCCCACGGGAATTCATATAATATTCTCCTGGCCGATTTCAGACATAGTCATTCTCACTGAGACTGCTTAAAAATTCGACTCTTAAAGGTGGAATCCATACTAATATTATAATGTTAAAGTGTGTTTGTTTGTTTGTTAGTTTGTTTGTTTGTCCTTCTTTCACTTCGAAAGGGAGAAACAGATTGACGGAATTTTTTGTGTGGAGATAGTTGGAGGGCTGAAGAGTGACATTGGCTACTTTTTATCGCGGTGATTATCTTATTCCCACGGAAAAATACGTTATAATGTATTGGACTGTAGTCCAACAAAATGTTTATGATCAGAATTACTTGGAACTTGGTATTAATTATCTTCAATAAAATTCAATTAATATTTATTTTAGCATTTTTCGAAACTCCTTCTATAAGGGGATAAAATAGGGGATAAAAATTTGTATGAAACTACCTTCTTAGATATTTTTTGTAGTCTTAGCGCGAACGAAGCCGCGGGTTTTGCTAGTAATACTATATATGAAACATTATTTATTTGTATCTTAATTAAGTTGTTGCTTTAAAATTTGCGCTCGAATAAATTTGAAACAAAGACGTCTGTAAGGACTTTTGAATGAAGTACAGCGTCGTCAGTCCGTCGGGAATCACGACGCCATTTGAAGGAGGAGTATCTACTAATTTTACATTTGAAGTTATGGTAGTCATGGTACTTTTTAATTTTGTAGTGTTTTTTTTAATTATTTAAATAAAGAGATACATAAGATCTTATGTATATGTGAATAATATTTTATTTATTATTAAGATTGCAAATATACACACGTACTATTAGACCATTGCCCGAAATTTGATTGAGTGGGAATCGAATCGGTGATTACCTACTAATAAAATGATGTTAATCAATTATTAAAGTATACATACGAGTACGATACAAAATAGTATTTCAATTAAGTACTTACAGTATAACTTAATTGTCACTTCTCTCAACTGTGGCTGCAATAGCGGTGGTTCCACCCTACATTGTAGCCTTGTACCAGTCATCTCCCTTGATAAAGACGGCAAGTGTATCTGACATACGGATCCATCCTTTGTAATAGCTAGACGCTCTTCACCGCGATACCACGACACGTCCGGTGGGGGTTTTCCTACGGACAAATTTTATGTTTATTGCTACAAATATACAACCTTTTTTATTATCGCTGCTTATTGCATACAACAAGTATAAAAAGTATCCTATATGTTGACCCGGATAGCCAGCTATCATCATATGAAATTTTATCAAAATCAGTCCAGAGGTTTTCTCGTGATGCATTCCCAGACAGACAGACAGACAGAAAAAACTTCTAAAAACTATAGATTCGGCCTGTGTATCGATAATAATGACTATTTCAATGAAATTTTCCAAAAAAAATTAAATCTATAATTTAGACTCAGAATTTTATTGTATGTATAGATTCTTTAATTTTATATTGATGTAAAATGCATAGTAAAGCCATTACAGTCTGATATATTATTTTCATTGAATATTTAATTATTTATTCACTGATCATTTAAATGAAATTAATTGTTTTACTCGTATATCATGTAAACAATAACATTCAAATTGACTGTATTCATTTTCAAACAGTAAAGTAAATAATTAAAATTTGGTGGTAGAAGTGGTAATGTGATAACTAAAAAAACCTTTAATTTTCGTTCTACATATTAATCCCTCCACGACCGCGGACACGCCGGCGTGTCAGTTAACAATAAATTTCTTAGAATTTTAATTAATTTCTTAGAAATTTACCTGGAGGTGCTAAAACAATCACTTGATTTTTCTGTATATAACGCGATAGTTTCGCCATTTTTAATACCTTTTTATTGGCTACTTTGGGATGATATAAACTAACTTTTAGAGTACTTTTTAAAATATACATACAATATACATATATTATATACTGATAATTATTTATGAAATGAAAATAGCCCATTAATTTTTTGGTGTAAAAGTCACGTTCATACTAGCATTCTAGTAATGCTTTGAATGCTCAGGATGCTTTATTACGCTTTGTTTATTTCGCATATTGTATTGCTATAGATATTCTATCTGTCTACTAAGTTTCATACAAATCCGTTTAGTCGTTTTAGCGTGAAAAAGAAACAAACATACACATACAAAATTTCGCATTTATGATACTAGCCCGATAATATGTTGTGATTCTTATATTACGTACAAAGTATATTGTATCGTCAATTATATTTACCACCAGAGGCTTGACAGGAGAGAAGTAAATCTTGTCCTTCTCGAAATGGCCCAGCTATCGAGCCCAAAATCTCTCGCCCTTCAGAATCATATATCCGAGGCGCATCAGGTGGAACTGCCAAAAATAATAATGTATAATATTTTTATTTTTACGGTTGTCTGTGTAAGTTCGTATATTTTTGTAATTGTCCTTTTGCGGAAATTGAAATATTGTGCGCCCGCACATAGTGATTTCTGAAATATTAAGTATTACTTATTAGGTCTCCTACTCAATTAATGCCAATAACAAGAAAATTGAATTTTATGGACGACAAGTTTGTCTGAGTTTGTAGTGACCTTACTTGCTGTGCGTTGCGGTCGCGGGTTTGAGTCCCGCTGGGAGTATTCATTTGTTTTTTGTACTCCATTCATGGGTGTTGTTTATATTTATAATATGTACGTATTGAGTTATATATGTGAGCTGTATCAACTATCTGGTATTCATAACACACTACAACTAGAACTAGACGGTGGTGTGTGTTAATTTCCCAAAATATTTATTTATGTATAATGACGCGTTATTTTATGACAATATTTGATAGACTGAATAAAAATATCCTTTTCTCATAATATGTGTACAATTATACATGATTTATTTATTTTTTGGAAACAAACAGTATGTAATACATTTACAGCAAACACATTAAATACAGCACATTGATGTATACCAACAAAGTTTCCTCTAATGTACATATCACGTTAATGAGCAGTTAGAAAAGAGAAAAAAAAACAGCTAAAACGTTACGTTTCGTTATTTTCAATTATTTTCTTTATTATACAAATTTATATCTATATTATCTATATAATCTTTTTGAAGTCCGTTGAAAATATATAGCAACCCTCCGTTGTCTGTTTTATATATGACTAGTTAAAAAGTAATAAATCACGAATAACTTACCAATAACAGTTAAGTTGACCCTGTAATTCCTAGTAGGAGAGTCTATATAATCGATCCTGCATCTGTACACGCCTTCATCGTATCTTGCCACCTTATCGACTGCAAGGTGAGCTGATGACGGATCAGATTCATTTAGAACGAAGTGTGTTCGAGCGCCGAACTCTCCTGCCACTGCCCAATGAACTGGTGGGCCGTTTCTGAAGTCGACTCTGTAACAAATATTTTATTTATTATTTCTTGTTTACCATTAATACTTCTTTTATAAACTAGCGACTTCGTCCGTACGTTTTAATTTTTTTGAGCGGAACCCTAATTCTTTTTCTAAAATAAAAGTACCCTATGTTACTCCCTATAATATCAGCTATCTTCTAGAGAAAGTCTCGTCAAAATTAGTATTGTCGTTTCAGAGATTATCAGGAACAAACAGACAAACAGACGGACAAAAAAATAAAAAATTGAGTTTTTTATAAGTACCGTATATCATATACATTTAGTAAAACGCTGTTATTTTGATATTACAAACAGACACTTTTTATTTATCTGTATAAATATTTCTCTTTATTAAAACTTTCCGTTAGTACATTAAGGAACATACGAAAAAATTTGCTGAATTGGTAGAGCCTTTCTCGATTTTTGCGCTTAGCAACATTCATTTTTATTTAATCTTTATTGCCCACAATATAAAATATATAAAAAAGTATTGTTTTTATTTTACATAAAGCGTGCAAAGGCGGTCTTATTGCTAAAAGCAATCTCTGCCCAACAACCTTTGGTGAAAGGATTTAAAATACGAAAACGGGACGGTGCTATCAAAATACGGATTAAATTATTAATGGTATAATGAAAAATATATGATATACTGACTCAAAACAAGTACAATATATATATATATATATATATATATATATATATATATATATATATATATATTCGAATCGGTGCCAGCCCATACAAAGCAAAGCACACCGACTTCGAAAATATTTGATTAGGTATGTATAGTAAATTAAAACTACCAATCAGTTATTTTTTACTTTTGAGTGTTTTTGTTTGATTTTTCCCTTTTTAGTGTAGACGTAGTAGCAAAGTAAGAATTCTAAAGTGTTAGGCTTGTCAAACGAAACAAAATAAGCCCAAACTCAAAGTATCTACTATTAGTCGTTGAAGAGTTCCACCTATCCACCTTCTGGCCTTACCATCAGATCAGGTCAACAATACCGAACCACTGTACTATGAATGGAAATAGAAACACTTGCAAAGTTTCAAGTCAATATGACAATTAGAAGTAGGTTAAATTCATTATTAGCTATTTTTCCACCCTTAGGGGTGATATTTTTTTTGAAATTTAAAGGGTACCAATCTGGAAGTATATACTTTCAAACAACACAAAAATTGTCCAAATCGGTTAATAAATGACGGAGTTCTGAGGTAACAAACAAAAAAAAAACTATCTTTTCGGATTTTTCCGCGAATTAATTTGGATTTTTAGTTCCCAACCAAACTTTTTTCGGCGGATTTATTTGGATATTTGGGAACCATTTATTTAAAATGTCAAATATTCGCGTAAATCTAAGAAAGTATTAAATACGCTAAACGTAAAACGTTTTACGTTCAAATTACCTACGTATAAAATTTGATTGTTTTGCCAAAGTTAAAACTGAACGTTGTTATATCAAAAAGGGAACTCGCCAAATTAATCTCATTACTTTCGCACTCTAACTCCACAAGTTAATGGCGTGAGCAATTCCTTGCGCAGAAATATCCTTGCCTTATTGAAATAAGCCTAAATAGAATGTGTTTTTTAAAATGTTTGTGATGTAAAATTTTTATCGTTTATATTTATGGTATTTTTTCGTCCACAAAACCATAACACTACTATTCTAAACACGAAAGTTTGTATGTATGTACACATATTTGTTACTACTTTACGCTGAAATCTGGGCCAGCACAAGACGCAATAAAATTTAAAAAAAGGTCAAACTAGTGACGCACTAGAACGAAAGGCGTGTTAGTCTCTAATTATAATTATTTATATATTATATCCATTAATTTAAAATTTTGCGAATTTATTGTTGATTATTCCTGACAATTACATATATTATTATGATTAGACACTTTTTATTCAAAGTAGATACATATATTTCCAGAGATTATTTTGTATATTTACTGTTATATAAATAAATAATAATAATAAATATGTTGGGAGTTTGAGCATTAACACACAGCGCCATCTAGTTCCATGGTAAGCTACGGGGCTTGTGCCATGGATACCACATAGTTGATACACTACACATATATAACTTTGAATACATACATATTAAAAACATAAACACCCATGACTGGAGTACAAATGTTCGTGCTATAACGGAAATGAATGCCCCCAGCAGGACTCGAACCCGCGACGGCTGGCATAACAAGTAAGGCCACTACAAACTGAGACAAACGTGTCGTCAAAAATCAATATTTGTTTTTAAAAATTGGGAGATTATATTTTCAAAAAGATTTTATCACCTTACAATGTAAAGGAAATGGCTGCATAAATTCCATTAAACTTTACAAATAAAGTTCTTAATATAAAGCCAGTATCAACTTAATTAAACTAAATGAAAATAATACGGAGAGAGATTTAATAAGTTTAAAGTATTGACTGAGTTGCAGTTGAATGATATTTATAATATGAAACAGTATTTATAATATGATACAGTGCACAATTATTGAGTTGTTATGATAGTACTAGCGTCTGCCCCGCTGGTGTAGTGGCTTGCTTGTACGGCTGCACATCCGGAGGTCCTGGATTCAAGTCCCGAGTTGGGCGAAGATTAGTTATTGAGTCTTTTTCTTAAGAAGTGTCAGTAACAGCACGGAGTTGGGAAGTTGGGGTGCACTGGTGTCTGCGCGTTGCGTATACACACATACATACACAATATCTCCTGGGCAGTCGGCTAGTCTTAGTGAAATTGGCCACCGTGGCTGAAATAGATCAAGAGGACAGCATCTTACCCTCAGGTATGGTCTTTAGAAGTCTTTTGTATTGATAGCAATATTCTTCTTAAATTTTATTACTAACAGTTACTAGCCTATGTGCTACTCCAGGTATAGTATATCTGTGTGCTAAATTTTATTGAAACCCGTTCAACTGTTTCAGCGTGAACGAGTAATAATCATACAAACATACATTCGTACAGCATTTAAACATTTCGTATTTTAAATAGCGATGTGATTAATTTTCAGTACTTTAATGTTTGAATTTAAGAATTCTAATGAAATAAATTGATTTGCTTCATGTCGTTCCGCTGCTAAGAACGTTTCAAATATATAATTGGAATCTTATTGTAAATGAAAGACGTTTTCTGTATTTATTACGTTTTAGTACACTGAAGTCATCTTATATATTTTTTAAAGATTTTGTTTACATTCAGTAGTAATAAAGACACAGCTAAGATTCATTTGGTGCGGTCCAGTAAATACAAAGGTATAATAAAAACTCCCTGTTCAATACGAGCTTACATAAAGCGAGTATTTTATTAGTATTTACAGGAACAATGGTTAGTTTATATAAAAAATAAAAAACGGTTAAGTGCGAGTCGAATTCATACACGAAGGGTTCCGTACCATCATACATGTACTTTTTATTAATATGACTTGTACTCTATGTATGTAATATATTAATTTCTTTATTTTTATTACTTTTTCTTATAGCGGTAATAGAAATACATACCTTGTGAAAATTTCAACTATCTATCTATTACAGTTTATAAGATACAGCCCTCTTACAAACGGACGGATGGACAGCAAAGGCTTAGTAATAGGGTTCCGTTCAGGTACGGAGAGCCCCAAAAATTATAAGTATGTCTGAAAGAGAAACTTTTTGTAACGTATACTTTCCAAAGATGCCTGATGGAGATTTGGTGAGTTATTGACACTTATGATAATGTTTCTCATATACCACTAGCTTTCCCGTGGTTCTGCTCGTGTAATATCTATGTATAGCAGTTTCGAACTTAAAATTCATAGCGTGATGGTAGATTTCTCTCTTCACTTTCTTCAGGAACTTGGCTATCAAATTATTCTTTTTTTTATATAAAACTATCTTTTCAGATTTTTTCGCGGGTTTATTTTGATTATTGATTCTCGACATTTCTAATGCAGCAATCACTATACCAAACTAACCAAAAATCAAAATAAATTCGCGAAAAAGTTCTTAAAGATAGTTTTATTTAAAATATCAAATATTAGCGTAAATATAAAAAAGTATTATTTTTTTCAAATCTAATCTAATCTAATATACGGTAAACAGGCTTATAGTTATCTTAATATATATAATTGCTCCTGGATGGTTTGAAAACACAATTGAACCCAGTAGGTGGCGCTGCAGTCGGTATGTCACAAAGTTTTCAAAAAAAACTCAGTTTTCCGAGCAATAAATAAATTTAAATTGTTGATTAAATAAAATAAAAATCAATGTGTGTATGTATGTTTCCTATGGACTCCGAAACAGCTAGAGCAATTTTGATGAAATTTTCAGGTAATCTTCAGATTAGCCCAGCGGGTGGTCCTGTGAATTTTGTTAGCGATTGGAAGTTTGGTCGCGGGCGAAGCCGCGGGTACTGCTAGTATATGTATAGATATTTGACTTTTGCTTATTTAAAAACAAAAGGCAATTTACGAGCAGTAAAATATATATATTTTCAAGTGCTTATAAACATTCTTCTAAAGAAAACCAGGACGCATCACTAGTCATATATAGAATTATCCACCTGTATACAAGTATAGTGGGCAATACACCCATATAAGAAATACGACATCGCGCGATACAATTCATGGCCCGGTAGGATGCCAAATCGAGTTCACTTCCAGGAGCCATAAAATAAAGCTATTATCGTCGATAAAATCAACGCTTTATTCACAATGAAACAAATAAAATATTAAATTGTAAGCGTAACTGTAAATATAGTTCGAGTGCGTATGGGTATAAATATAATTAGGGTTTTGTGACCAATTAATCTATATCCTATACATATAATAAAATTGTAACTAAGCCGAATCTGTACATTAAATATTTTTTTTTAAATCTTATTAAAATAGACATTATTATCGATACAGAGGCCGAATCTTTAGTTTTTAGAATTTTTGTGTGTCTGTCTGTTTATAACCGCATTACGGAAAAACCACTGGAGAGATTTTGATGAAATTTGGTATGGTGATAGCTCGT